CCCGCTCTCCCCGGCGCGGCGCACCCCAGCCCCGGGCCCTGTTGCCCAGGACACGCAGGGGCAGATCGCGCCGGGCGGGGCTTGGGCCCGGATCGCAGGCCACCCCCACTCTCGGACCTCGTGCGCCCTGCATGTCCCGGCGGCCAAACCCGTGGCCGGCCGGCAGCCCCAGCAGCGAGAGGCCGAGGGACCCAAGAAGAGAGATGCAGGCCACTGGGTCCAAGCACCCCGAAGGAAAATTCCCTGCCCCTTCCCCTCCGGCAAGTTTCCGGAGCCCCATAACTCGCTGGCCCTCCTCATTAGGACCCCGCCATCCCTCTACCCCCACCCCCACCCCGCCCCCAGCGCCAAGGCGAAGGGTGGAAATGTTTTCGGGCGTTTCAAGGGCAGAGGGAAGCAGGATGGAGAGGTGCAAGAATGCGGGGTCCACCCGGCCGGCCACCTCCGGGAAAAGACGGGGATGGGGCGGGGCGGGGCAGTGACACATCCCGGAGGCTCGGGAGCCGGCGTCCAGCCCTTCCCCGGCTGGGGCTGGGGCTGGGGCCCCGCGGGACCGACAGCGTTTCCTGGCCTTGGTTCTCCCCCTGAAGGGCGTGCTCCCCAGAACCCCCGCGCGGTGTGCGAGCCCCCCCGCAGCGGCGCCCGGCACCCTTGTCCCGGGCCGGGGTGTAACCTCCGGAGGCTACGGCTCGGCAGGCCACGTGAGACGCGAGGGGACACGGCGCCGGGGTCACTACCCCCTCCATCGCCGGATTTCTCTGCTTAGTTGGGAGGTGATTACCTCAAGCTGGGCGTCCACGCCCGGTCACTAGGCTAGAGACGCGCGGAGGGCCAAGCCCAGACACCCGCTCTTATTACTCAGGACGCCCGAGGATGCGTTTTGAGGGCCCAAGGAACTAGAATCTCGCCCCCAGCATGCATTTCCTCCCTGGGGCCCCCGAGGCTGGTGTGAGCCAGCCCCCTCCCCCGGCGGTTTGGGGTTCGCTTTTTGACGCCCGCACGCGCCTCACCCTGACTTTCCGAGCTCCCGCGGCCGCGCCGGCCCAAGATGGGGGCGCGGGGAGGGGGGCAGTCTGTGTGGCTGAGTTAACTGACCAGAGGCGGAAACGCACGTCCGCCACTTGGGGCGGTGAGAGGTGCGGCCGCCGGTTTCCAGCGCGTGACCGCCCGGGTGGGCGCGAGAGCAGTGCGCCGACGCGCCCCGCCACTTTGGGGTACCGGGGATTCGCGCCGCGTGGCCGGGGTGGTACTGCAGCACGTGGAGCGCCACACGCGCCCACAAAGAGAGCCGAGTGCGCGAGGGGAGCCCGGGCGCCCCCGGAACTCCGCGGCCCTCTCGGAAGCCCTTTCCAAGGCGACTTAAGGGCTTAACAGCGAGAGCTGGCGGGGCCCGAGCCGGGCCCTTTCAAGTCGCCGCCAGGTATGCGGCTGCAGGTGACCCCACCTGCGCGCACCCTCCCGCCGCCGCCCGAGTCCTCGCGGGGAGGGCGGGCG